GGCCAGGCCACCCCCTGGGGCTCCACCCCACCCACGGCAGGCCCAGAGGGGAGACCCGCCCCCTCCACCCTCTCCCACCCTGGTTCCGGCCTGTGAGCCTCCCGGCCCGCGTGTTTGCCTGGGCGGCCTGGCCCCGGCCGGGGAAATATAAATAAACGCACGTCCCTGTCCGCCAGGTTCTGGAAGTGGCAGCTGCTGCTGGCGCGGGCGGAGGGAAAGGTCAGGGGGCCCGGTTACACTTGATCCCACGCCCCGGCCCTCCCCTCCGCGCCTGTCCTTGAGGAACCCTGAGGAGCGGGCTGTGGGGCCACGTGGCTCCCGTGGCTGCCGCAGGCGAGCAGGTGGCCTGTCACTCAGCGTCACCCCCGCGCCGCGGGTCCAGCGGGCCAGGAGGGCAGGAAGCTGGGGCCCCACGCCCACCTCGCCCCTCTGCCCGTCCCCGAAGCATGGGAGAGTTGGCGTGAACCTCTGGGCTTGTTTGCCCCGTGCCAGGAACAGGACACTGTCACAGCCTCGACAGCGGGGAGGGGACGGGACCAGGGCTCTGAAGGGCTTCGCGAACTCTGCGTGTCGCTTGGCCGCGCGGCGGACGGGGTGGCTTGTTGATGTTTCTGTTGCTGTTACTGCGTTTTTGTCAGAGCTTTGTAGCCGCGAGCAGCGGCACGTGTCTGAATGGCTGAAAGACGGGTGGACGGATGGAGGGATGAATGACAGGAAACGCCAGCACGGACGGCTGCCCCCTCCCCGGGCTCCCCAACGCCTGTGAAATTTCAGCTGTGGATTTGATTCGAGGAAAATGGGCTCAGACTTTGTTACGGGGAGTCTTTCACTAGAATCATTTCACGCACAGCTCTGCTCAGAGGCTGCCGGGCCCCCAGCAGCGTGAGTCAGCTGCTGCCCTGGTGGGGGCGCCGGCCCCCCGCACAGCCCCTGAGGTCAGGGGTGCCCCTGCCTCCCCCCCAGCCGCGGGGAAGTGGACTGGCCCTACCTGCTCCGGCCGGCCGGGGCCGTGCAAGGTCACGGCTCAGGAGACGCGGCGGCACGAACACGGAGACGCCGGCCAGGGGCTCTTCAGGCAGACAGGTCGGGCCCTGGGGCCCGGCTTCCTGGGTGCTGCCTTGAGGTGCAGCGGGGGCCGCGTCACTGTGGGCCCGGCGTTTGTGGCATCCAAACTAGACCCTCCGGCCTGAGCCGGGGACCAAGGGGACTTTTTCTGGCCTAGGTGCGTCAGGGGTAGGGGCTGCCGATTCCTGGAGGCTCTCTCCCCACGCCAGGAGGTGGGAACCTCTTGGCTGTGGCGGGGCTGAGATCTGGGGACACGTCCACTCCCAGCCACCCAACAGGCCGGGTGGGCCCTGAGTGCAGCCTGGGCCGTTAGGTGCTCCTGGGGGTTCGGGGCCCTGGAGGCGCCCCAGTTAACCTGAGCGGGAAGCTCCTGGGCCCAGCTTACCCCCACTCTGACCTCCACCCTCCCGGCCCCTGCTGGCCACGTTCCTTCCTTTCCCTGGCCCGGTGTGGCCGGAAGACAGCCCGTCTCCCGAGGCCTCTGCAGCTGCGAGAGAGTGTCAGGGCTAGGTCACGACAGCCCGGTGCCCCCGCCCAGCGGGGGTGGGGGAGTGGCGGGGTCTGCATCCTGGACTCCAGCCTCGGCCCCCAGGCTCCTCAGCAGGGGCCCCGGTGCGGCCTGACCCATCCCTCCTTGTTCCTGAGCCCGGACCCTTCCTGTGCACCCCGGAAAGCAGACCGTAGAGGCCAGCCCTCCCGCTCTGGTGCCTCCCCAGCCTGCGACGTGGGGCCCCTCACCGCTGTCTCCTCCCTCGGGGAGTCTTGGGCCGCCCCTCACCTGCCGTCTGCTCCCCCCGCAGGCCTCCTGGAGCACGGCCGGAACTGGTCGGCCATCGCCCGGATGGTGGGCTCCAAGACGGTGTCGCAGTGTAAGAACTTCTACTTCAACTACAAGAAGAGGCAGAACCTGGACGAGATCCTGCAGCAGCACAAGCTGAGGATGGTGAGTCCCCGACGCCCCTGGGGCCGGGAGCGGCGTGTCACACCGGCTGCCTCCTTAGGACTCAGCCTCTCGGGTCCCTGCCCTGCGGCCCCCGACACGGCTGCAGGCAGCAGTGCTGCCGTGAACGCCCCTCCTGGACGTCGGGGCTGGGCAGGGCTCCGCCGTGGCCTCCTGCCCCCTCTGCCTCCCAGCCCGCAGCTCAGACACCGCTGGGGGCCTTAGCGCCCTGGGGCGTGGGGGGAGTCAGGCACTGACTCAGCCTGGAATTGGCGCAGAGCGTTGGAATGAAGCCCGGGGCAGAGGAGTCCTGCGCGGGGCCCCCGCCTGGCCTGCTGGACCTCACAGTGTCACAGCCGCCGTGGGGCGGGGAGGACGGGTGTGGGGCAGCGGGTGGCTCAGCCGTGGCCTCCTGGAGGGCTTCAGGCAGACCGGGGAGGCCTGAGGTTTCCCGCCGCAGGAGCGCAGAAGGCGCGGGCTCGCCTCGCCGAGCGTGTGAATGGTCTCCGAGGAGCCGCTGCTTCCTCCGCAGCTGTTTCTGGGAATCCAGGACTTCGGGGCGGGGGTCTGCTGCCTTTTCTCCCTCCCTTCCCCTCTCCTTCCCGTCCTTGCCTTGCGGCACACTCCTGAGCACCGTCCCCATTTTAAATGGGAGAAACTGAGGCTTAACCAGGCTCAGAAGCAGCTGAGTTGGGCTTTGAACCCACTGCCGCGAGCCTGGGCACGAGGCTCCTGGTCACTGGCCGCGAGTTCCTCGCGGGTACAGAGGCACGGGGGGGGTCGCGTGGCTCCCTCCCTGCCCCCATCGGCTGCCTGTGGCTGGGGCTAAAGCACTTGCAGCGTGTTCTGCGGGCAGCGCCTCCGTGCGTCCGCCGCGGGGGCGCACGACACACGGCCGGGGCAGCGTCGCTCCCTGAGCACCGAGCGGAATTCGAGGGCGCCTTCCATGCTCCTGCGTGAGTTCTCACCAGATCGTGCGTGTGGGTGGCGGCTAGCGGCTCTAGGCCCGAGGTGGAGGGACCCTGGGATCTGTCCCTGGAGCTCCAGGGCCCCAGGCAGTGCCCCTCATTTTCTGGGCCGTGTGGGCCTTCGGGTCTGCGCAGGAGGAGGCTCGGTGCCAGCCGAGGATGTGGAGCGTCTGTCCGTCTTCAGCGCTGGCCCGGGTGTCTGGGAGCCCCGGAGCAGCCTGGCGGGGGTGGGGCACGTTGTGGGCCAGCGTCCCTGCCGCACAGGTCAGGAGTCCGGCACGGTCAAAACAGGACGACCCGGGGTCAGGAGCTTGGCCCTGAGACCGCCCCAGGCACAAAAAGGGTCTTCCTGTGACATCCCTGACCTCCCCACCCCTTCCCTACCCCCGCCGATCCCAGGGCTCCCGTCCCAGATCCGCAGGGCAGTGGCTACAGGGTGGCAGGTGTCTCCCCTCGCAGCCTGCCGGCCCCACCACCTGGCTTTCCAGGCTTCCTCGGGGAAACTGCTGTTCCCAGGGGCCTCAAAATGTGAGAGCTTGGTTGGAGGACCGGGGACTCCAGCAAGGTGCATGGCACAACTGGCTCAGGGCAAGAGGGGGCCAAGTCCCAGCTTGTCGATTCGGCACTCGGGTGACCTTGGGTGGTGGCTTCCGCCTGACCAGCCTCAGTTTCCTCATCTGTAAAGTAGGGGAGTAGTAGTCCTTATTCCACGAGATCGCGTGAGGACTGAGTGGGTTAGTACCTGTAAGGTGCCTGCCTGAGGGACGAGCCCCAGGAGGGTCGGCCGCCTGGTTTACTGCTACTGTTATCGTTATTGTTTAGTTTGAAGCCCACTCTTCTCAGGCCTGAGAAGCTCTCGTGAGTGGCATCTGCAGAGACAGCTGCGGCGCCTCGGGGTTGGGAGCACGGACTGTGGGCCGAGCACAGTGGGTTTGAATGCAGGCTCTGCCGCTTACCAGCTGTGTGGCCTTGGGCAAGTGACGTGGCTGCTCAGGCCTCAGTTTCCCCGCCTGTGAGATGGGGACAGTAGTGGAACCCACCTCCGAGAGCTGTTGTGGGAATGATCCGAGTGGTTGTAAAGTGCTTAGAATGCGGCCCAGCACGCTGCAAGTACTCAGCTAAGCAGAGCCGCAGTGGTGCTGGCGGTGGCATGCTCATGCCCGATTCATTCATTCATTCATTCATTCATTCAGTCATGCAGGGAGGCAGCCTGGAAGGACAGTGCACAGCAGGGCTCTGGGGTGGCGCATTTGTACCCCAGCTGTGCTGCTTAGAGACTGGTGCCCAGGGGTACATGGCTTCACCCCTCCGAGCCTCAGTTTTCCCGTCTATAAAATGAGGAGAAGAACGGGACCTACTTACAGGGCTGTCGCAAGGCGCACACGAGTTCCCTTTTGCGGAGGGCGGTGCCTGCCACGAGGGCAGCACTCAGTAAGCGTTGGGCCGTCGTCGTCCTCAGTGCTCATTCAGCAAACCGGTATTGATTCCTGCGCCCGGGAAGCACTGGCAGGTGTCCCGAGGGTTTTCCTGCTGGGCTGAGGAGCTGGGCATTTCTCAGTGGGCCGTGGGGAGCCGCCGAAAGTTTCTGAGCTGAGAGGCGACCCATCCAGGCTGGGGCGGATTGTCCTGGTGTCCGTGAGAGGGATTCTGGTCTGAGCGAGATGGAGCAAAGGCTGACAGGGAGGTAGCCTTCCTCTCCCCAGTTCTGAAGATCGCGGTTAGTGGCTGTGTCGCTGGCAGCCCGCGGACGAGGCGTGGACAGGAGGGGAATCCTGAGGCCAGGGCGGCTCCTGAATGAGAACAGGCGATTTGGGAGCACGGGCTTGGTTCTCGCTCCGGCTGACCTCGGCGGCGCAGACTCGCGTCGAGAGCTGCAGAGAAAGCAGGCGAGCAGGTGCAGCGACCCGTGACAGGTTCCAGCTCAGCCCGCTGCCCTCCGTCGTGACAGTGGCCACCCTTGGTGCAGGGGCGAGCTCCCCGTCACTGGAGGATGCAAGCAGGCCTATGAGGTGCTGCCGAACCTGGTGACCTCTGCCTCCCGCCCCTCCCCGCACCCTCCCGTCTTGACGCGGTGACAGCCCCTGATGCCTGCTGGCCCAGCCCCGTCTGGGGCACAGGAAGACGTGTCACCCTTGGCCAGCGAAGGAAGCAGTGGGGAAACCCAGGGACTGAGGGTCAGTGGGTGTCCCCTCCCGCCCTGCACCAGGCCTGGCCAGAGCGCGGCCGCGGGCGACGTCAGCAGGAAGCAGATCAGGCAGCAGGCGGAGCACGTCGCGGAGTTATGTAACATTTGGCATGGGCGTCTTCTCCGCGGTCCCCCTCCCTCTGCTCGTGGCCGAAGGTTACCCTGCTCTCCCATGTGCGGGTCCAGGCCCCTGGGGCTCCGCTTCCGCGTTTCTCAGCCTCCGTCTGTCTCGGCCCTGGCCCGGCCCTGCCGCGTTTTCCTCTGTTGTCCCGTCCATCCGAGGCTGCGCAGGCTGCCGGGAGATGGGCCCGGCAGGGCGATGTCCGAACCCGACCTGCGTTCAAACCTGGGCTCGACGCGTGAGCTGTGTGGTCTTGGGCGAGCGTCTTTGCCTCTCTGACCTGGTATCCTGGCCTACCAGGTTCATTCAGCTAAGGAGGTAGTTACGGAGCGCTTGTTCTGTGCCAGGCGCCGTTCCAGGTGTGGTGGGAGGACAGACGGACAGATCCCAGCCCTCAAGGAGCGAGGTCTAGTGCGGGAGACACACTGACACACGCTTTCAGGATGTGGTCTGAGCACGCCAAGCCGAGGGATGCAGTAGGAAGTGGCCGATGGTGGGGCGGAGGGGCGGCTGATTTTGGCAGGTGACCGGGGAAGACCTCTCTGGGAAGTGGCGGCTGAACAGAGCCCTGACGGAGGCGCGGAAGTAAATCTGTGCGGGTCTTCGGGAAGGGCGTCCAGGCAGGGGAGCGGCGGGCGCGGTGGCCCCAGGCAGGCGGGGCGCTGTGTTGGTCGCACAGAGACCGCGGGAGCGGAGGGCCGGGGGGTCCGGTTCTAGATCCCGTGGGGCTGCGTGGGTGGGGAGGACGTGGGGTTTTAGTGCCAGTGTTGGGGCGGGAAGCCCTGGGGAGTCCGAAGCAGGGGTGGCGTCCCCTGATGTGCAGAGCAGCTGTGTGGGTCCAGTGAGTTGATACTGGAAAACATCTTGCTTACAGTGGGTGCATAATAAATGCTGCTGTAATGATATTGGTGGAACTGATCTCTCCTGTTGCATTCGCACCTCCTGATCCTGAGGGGCCGGGCTGCGTCAGGGAGGATTTGCGGCGATTCCGGGGACACCTGCTAAGTTTCAGCCTCTCGGACCCAGTCTGGGGGGGTTCGGGGTGTTGGCACCATCCCCCCTCCCGCTGCCGCCATGTCTTGGAGACCCTCCCAGAGAGACTCACAGCTCTAGAGGGTGAGTTTCACGGCCAGGCCAGCAGGAGAGCTCTGCGAGTCCCCACCCACCGCACCAGAGCCCCCGTCTGCCACGAGTGGCCTGGGGAAGCAGGGCAGCCCTGGCCCAGAACCCACGGCCAGGGCCCCCCCGGGAGACGCTCAGGGTTTGGGGCAGGCTGGGGCCGGGCCCTGGGTGCACGTGGGACATCCCTGTATCGGGCCCTGTGGACCCTCGGTGGGGGCGGGGCGGTGGCACTCTGGCCGAGCGTTGGTGACGGAAACCGTGACTCACGGGCAAGCAGACGTTTCCCTTTTCCTCCCGGCGTTCCGAGTGGCTGTGCCCAGAGACCCGTTTGCTCAGGAAGAAGGCAGGACAGGAAGTGATCCCAGCCCTGGGCTGTGGCGGGGCCCGGGGACCGCACATTCGGAGCAGGAGACCCCCTCCCCCCCATGGGGCATGTTCCCACCCTCTGCCCTCCCGGCCACGGTGTGAGGCTGGAACGGGCAGGGCCTGGATCTGCAGGCGACGGGGCGTCTGCCCCCGAGAGCAGGCTGTGCGCGTCCTCACGTAGGGTGGCTTTTTCCCGGAACCCAGGGACAGCGCAGAGGGGCTGCATCAGCTCCCCGTGATCAACAAATGCCACCAACCAGGGAGCTTAAAGCAGCCACAGCTGTTTCTCCTGCGGTTTTGGGGCCGGCAAGGTGTGCACGGGGCCCTCCTTGCCCTCGAGGCCCGGCAGAGCTGCTCCGTGTCGTCCTTGGCCTTCCTCGGCTACAGACGCGTCACTCGCTCCACACTCGGCCTCACGTGGCCATCCCTGTGTCCGTGTTTCCCTCTCCTGGAAAAGACGCCGTCATGCTGGATTGAGGGCCCACCCTGCCCCAGTGTGACCTCATCTTAGCCAAGTACATCTGCAAAATCCCTTTCCTAAGTAGGGTCATATTCTGAGGTTCCGGGTGGGTGCGAATTTGGGGGGACGCTGTTCAGTCCGAGAGTCTTCGCTGAGAGCTGCAGTCACCTCCAGACGTGGAGTGGGCTCCGCCTCTTTCTCAGACCCCAGAGGGCTCAGGCTGCAGCCCCCGCGTCACATCCGATGGGGCAGGCACCCTCTTAGGGTCTGTCCACCCTCCTGGGAGTCCCTAGGCACCTCAAGACCCCCAGGAGACGCTATCCCCCATACACACCCACCCCTTGCTGACCGTGTGTTCAAGCCCACAAAGGCTGCCCGTTCATAGTCGCTCAGCAAGTCAGTCGACAAACGCTTTCTGAGGCTCTGCCTGGCTCAGCATGGGGATTAGAGACACCCGGCCCAGGGAGGCACAGAGACGGGAGCCGATGGCTGTGCCCCAGCCGGGAGTGGGGGGTGGGTGGCGAAGGCCTGGCTCCCTCGCGAGGAGCTGAGGGTCCCGGGGAATGGGGTGCCGTGTGGGGAGGAGAGAGGCTGCACGGTGTGGGCCTCGTCCGCTCTTCCAACACACCCAGCTGCCGCCCCCACGGGGCCTTCGCGCTGCGGTTCCCGCACCTGGCACTCTGCGCGGAGCCAGGCGGTCCCCTCTCCTCGTCAGACCTGGGCTCCCGTGCTGCCTCCTTGCAGAGGCCTTTGCTGACCTTGCTGTCCCGAGGGGCCCCACCCTGGGCTCTCCTGCCCCACCCTCGTCACCCTCTGAGTCTGTCTTCTCTCTGCACGTCGCGTCGCTGGTCTCCCTGGGCAGCCAGCCTTGGGGGACAGGACCTCGTCTGCCCACGGCCCCTGGTGCGGTGCCTGGCACACACAGGTGCCCCGTAGAGACGCGTGGGGTGACACAGTTAGCTTCCCCAGCCGGCCTGTCTCCTGTGCTCATGGGGCAGGTGAGACATGCGGGGCAGAGGTTCGTCTGTTCACTCCGCACGTGCGGACGGCCCCTGGGAGCGCGGCCGCTGCTGGGGCTCGCAGAGTTGGAGGGGCTGGAGCAGCCCCGGGGGCCTCCAGGCAGAGGCCGGCTCTCACCTGCTCAGGAAGGATGTCAGGGCGGCGGGAGGCCAGACGGCCCAGGGCATCTCTGGGGCACGATGGCGGAATAAAGCCCCCGGTAAAAATCACCACTGGCACGTTTGGCTGCGGTGGCGGCAGGTGCCGGGTGGGGGTGGGGGCAGGTCGCCCTGGCGGCCACGCGGCCGGGATCGCTGCCCCTCGCGGCTGTGGCGCGGCCTCTGGCACGGGGAGTCCCCGGGCTGACAGCCCCGGCCCTGACCCGCCCGCCGCTGTCCCTGTGCTCCAGGAGAAGGAGAGGAACGCGCGGAGGAAGAAGAAGAAAGCGCCCGCGGCGGCCAGCGAGGAGGCGGCCTTCCCGCCCGTGGTGGAGGACGAGGAGATGGAGGCGTCGGGCGCCAGCGGGAACGAGGAGGAGATGGCGGAGGAGGCGGAAGGTGAGGGCGGGGCCGGGCGGGGTCGGTGTCGCGGGCGTGGCAGAGGCCGGCCTGGCAGCCCCTTGCCCCCGAGACGCCGAGTCCTTCTTAGAAGGGGCCTGAGCTCCCCGAGCGAGAGGCAGGTGCTCCGGGGCTGTAGGACGACGGCAGCGACAGAAACGGTAACACTCGCCGCCCCCCTGAGGCCGAGCCCCGCTCCGCTCTCCTGACGTGCTTGGGGGACCGTGTGGCCAGGACAGCCCTCCTGGTGCCTGCGGTCTCGTCACCCCTTCACGTGTCAAAGTTCAGGGAAGAATTTACTTCGGAAAACAGTTTTTGGAGTAGAAGTGTTTTCACACGTCGGCCAGAATAAGCAGAACCGATCTGTTAGTCGATCAATAGTTCAGAAGTTACACGATGACCTTTAGTGCCTCCTCTTACTCCGGAGTGTCCCATCTGGGTGAGACACAGTATGGACCCCTTACTTACCGTCCCTGTTTCCGACCCGGGGGAGCTGAGCTCGGGGAAGCTGGAGGTGGGGGCTCAGGTGAACCCCCGCCAGGTGAGTGCCACCGAGGAGAGAGCACTGGCCTGTCCTCTCTCCACCCCCAAAAAGAGCATTGTGACCGCACACGATCGTCACCTTAACGGTACAGCCTCCCACCACCCCCAACGCGTGGCTCAACCACGTCATAATCGCTCAGAGACCCAGGGATCGAACCCAGGCTGCCCACGGCCAGACCCTGCCCTGCTGGTCACGGAGCCACCTCTGACCCCCACCCTGCACCTCTGTTTCCCTGCCCGAGGAAGCTGGATCTAGACCTGCCCCACCCCCGCCCCGTGACGCCGCTGCAGGCGCAGCGCTCGCTCTGCCGAACGTCTTGTCTCTCCTTCCCTTCTCTGGCCAGAGCAGCCCCAGCCTAGTTCTCAAGTTCAAGCTCTTTCCTCCTGCCCCCTGTCCGGGGCGTCTTCCCGTCGTTCCTGTCTGCCTCCTTTTCCGAATCGGGACTCCCAGGCTTCCACCAAGGTGGCGAAGGAGGTGCAAGTCCCCTCCCGGGTCCGTAAGCCAGGCCCGCAAGTAGGTTCAGGTTCTGCTGGCCCCACAGTGTCTTCCCCAGCCCGGATCCTAGTTCCTGGTTGAAAGCGGATACTCAGCCCTGCAGTTACTGTTGTCTCAAGCCGGGGAGGGTCTGGGGTACTGACTCTGGCCTCCTGGCAGCTCTGGGTCCCTCTAGCCCATGTCCGCCAGAGGCCTGGCCAGTGTCCATGGCTGCAGGTCCCTCTGGCCATCCCATTTTGGGTCCTGGTCTGTAGCCAGGAAGAGAGAAGACCTAGGGAGCAGTAACCCAATCCCCTCTCGAAATATCCTTCCAGCTGTCCGCGTGGGCAGAGTGCAGGCTTGGTGGGAAAACTGGAGGAAACCAGACTTTGGCTTGATATCAAGACAGGAGCAGATGGGTGGTAGTGAGCTCCCCGTCACCCGCAGGGGTCACAGATCCCATATCCCAGTAGGGATGGGGGTAGTAGAGGGGTACTGGTCTAGCCAGAGCTGAGGCTCCTGTGACCACCTGGCTTCCACGGCGGTAGCAGCCATTCAGAAGGCCCTGATTAAGCCTCCCGGCACCCACCCTGGTGCCCAGGGTGTTATACCCATCTTGAGGATGAGGAAACTGAGGCACAGAGACAGGAGAATCACTCACATGGTGTCCTCCAGCCCAGCCAGCGTTCACTGTGTGACCCCCGTTCCTGTGAACAGGATTGGGGAAGTAGGACTTGGGTTGGGTCCTGAGGTTGCCCTAACAGAATCTTCCGGAAGCCCCGCCAGCCCAGTGGTGCTGCAGACCCCGTCATGGGGACAGGCGGAAAGTTCCTTGACGTAGGCTGGAAACAGACCGGTGCAGGCGAGGGAGGGATCACTGGCCCAGTGACGTTTCCTGTAAGGGTGACAGTCCCAGCAACAGCAGGAGCCTTGGGTTAACTCCCCTGATCGCAGAAGCAGCACGAAGCAGGGGACGTCATTGTCCTCGTTTTACAGAGGAGGGGGCTGAGGTACAGAGGGGTTCCCCAAGGTCCACTTGGCAGCAGAGATTCAAGCTCGGCCGGGCTCCGGAAGCCTCTCCACGACTTCTTGGGTTTGCAGAAAGGGGAGGAGGCCGGGGGTGGTTTTGTTTTGTTTTGGTATTTTTTAAAGCACCTGCTGGGCACAGGCACGGGGCAGAGCACACCTCCTAGGTCAGTGGTCGGCAAGGTGCGAACGGCCAGTCGTGCCGATTCTTGGGCCCCAGCCTGCACCTATCGAATCGGGAACATCTTGGGGACAGAGCCCAGCAACTGCGTTTTCACGAGCCCTCTGGGAGCTCGGTGTAGACCAGCAGGAGCCTCTTGGTCACAGTGAGCGTCGGGTGCCAACTGCCCATTTTGTAGATTAACAAACTGAGACTCCAGAGGTTGGGCCGCTCGTCCTAGGGCTCTCAGTGTCGGCCTCCCTACCTCCTGTGGTCTGACTGTGTGCACGGGAGGGGGTGCCACGGCCAAGCAGGGGCGGGAAGCCCAGTGGCTGGGGACTCGGGCTGCTGGGTTCAGTGCGCCTGCCCCCTGCGGTGTGGCCTTGGGCAGGCTGACGACCCTCTCTGCCTCGTTTGCGCGTCTGCAGATGAGAGCGGTGGCCGTCTTGATCTCAGAGGTCCTTGAGGACTAGCGAGTCACAGGTGGGAAGAGCTCAGCTCAGAGCGAGCCCGTGTTGCTGTTTCTGGAAGGGAGGCCCCTGCTCCGGGCCCTGCAGCGAGGCGGGAAGCAGGGGGCTGAGGGGTCAGTGGGGGCCGTGGGCCGGAGGACACAGGCCCGTCCTTCCAGCCTTGCCCACCCTGAGGTCAGCACCCCCACCCAGGGCGCCTGGAGCCAGGAGGCCGGTGACTGGTCCGGGGGGACACCCAGAGTGGCCGAGGCTTGCTTCTCCCTGAGCGACCTCATTACTGGCTGGCCTCGGACCGGCCCTTGGACCTGCCTGCGCAGGGCTGCTTCCGGTCACCTGCGGCGGCTCACGGCCAGAGCCCGGGGGCAGAGGAATCCAAGTGGAAGGGCAGGCGGGTCAGCTGCCCGCGGGTCGTCCTCCCTGCCGCCTGCCAGGCCCCAGGCCCCTCTGCCGGCCACCCCCTCATCCGTCCCCTCCCCGCTGCCGCCGCCACCTCCCTTGTAACTCTTCTCTAACTTCCTTCTAGCCTTGCACGCCTCTGGGAGTGAGGTGCCCAGAGGGGAAAGCAGTGGCCCAGGTACGGATGTGGCCGGCTGGCCCGGGGGGCAGGGGTAGGGCCGGGGAGGGCACCTGTCCCTTGCGAGGGGCCCCGCTCCTGGGAGCATGCCTCTGCCATGAGCACCACGGTCTGCTGCCGCCGCCTCTGCGCCCCCTCCCGGTGCAGCGTCTGTTCCCCGTGCTGGTCCCGGCTTGCAGGTCAGGGTCCCCGCTTGCCTGTGCTGCTGATTCTCCCGGCGTGCGCCCCGCCTCTCTTGCTGTTCCTTTCCCCAACAGCAAGTGCAGGGGTTTCCGAGCCTCCCCGTTTTATAGAAAATGGGAGAAATTGAGACCCAAAGAAGTGGCAGGAGCGGGTCTTAGGGCTAAAGATACAGGACCGGAGTGGAGGTCCCTCGGCCTCCTACTGGGACTGCGCCACTGCGGGCCGTCCCTGTGGCCTCCACGTGGGTGCTGGTCCCATTTGCGTTGCCCTGTTGGGGTGATGGTGACGATGCCACAGCAGATAGGCACCAGGCAGTCGCCCTGTGCCGTCGCCCTCACTGGCTCACCCACCCTGTGAGGTAGGAACTGCGATTCTACCCATTCTGCAGCTGGGAAAACCGAGGCCCAAGAGGTTCCCTCCCTGCTGCGTTGCGCAGCTGGCGAGGGGCAGAGCCGGGGGCGGGGTCAGACGAGAACACGGAGACCCCCAAGACGGAGGCCTGTGCCCGTTGGCCACCCTCATCGTGGCTCTGTTGGGGGTGCCAGCGGCCAGGAGATCCCCAGGGTTGGGAGTTGGCCAGGTCGTGGGCACCAGGGTCGCCCGGGAAGCAGGCAGCCACCTGTGAAGGCGGTCACCTGGCCAGTGGCTTTGTCTCGGGTGGGGCTCCCGGCAGGTGCCCAGGCACGTAGGAGCCACAGGGCTGTTTTGGTGTCAGGCCACGGCCACCGCACCCCAAGGGGCCCCGCCTCCCTCCGCCGGGCCCCCAGGCACCGCTTAGCCCCGTCTGTTCTCCCCGCACAGCCACCGTCAACAACAGCTCCGACACGGAGAGCGTCCCCTCCCCGCGTGCTGAGGCCGCCAAGGACACGGGGCAGAACGGGCCCAAGCCCCTGCCCGCCCCAGAAGCCGACGGGCCGCCCCCTGAGCCGCCCACCCCTCCGCCGGAGGACGCCCTGGCCCCCACCGAGCCCGCCCAGGCCCCCGAAGCCGCCGGCCCGCCCACGCCCCCTCCAGCACCCGCGTCACCTTCCACACCCCCTCCCGTGGTCCCCAAGGAGGAAAAGGAGGAAGAGGCCGCTGCAGCACCCGCGGCGGAGGAAGGGGACGAGCAGAAGCCCCCTGCGGCCGAGGAGCTGGCGACAGAGGCGGTGAAGGCGGAGGAGCCCGGGGCGGCGCCGCCTGAGGAGCCCGTGAAGAGAGAGTGCAAGGAGGAGCCCGAGGCCGGCCCGGACAAGGGCAGGGGTGGGGAGGCTGCCGCGGAGGCCGCGCCCGAGGGGCCGCTCAAGGCGGAGAAGAAGGAGGGCGGCAGGGCCACCGCGGCCAAGGGCTCGGGCGCCCCCCAGGACAGCGACTCGAGCGCCACCTGCAGCGCCGACGAGGTGGACGAGCCCGAGGGCGCCGACAAGAACAGGTGAGCGGTGGCGGCAGCCCTGGCCTTGGGCTTTTGTCCGCGTGTGCTTGTTCTGCAAGCTCTTATTGAGCAACTGCTGTATACGGAGACAGCCACACACGGGCCGGCTCTGCCTGCCCGCGGGGAGCCCCCGGTCCTGTCAGGGAGGTGGACACGGAACAGAGTCCAGGAACAGGCGCGGGTGGGGTGAGGAGGACCTGGGGGAGGGTGACGTCCCAGCTGGGACTGGACGGAGCAGGAGGCAGCCATGGGAGGCGCCAGGGAGAGAGTGTGCCGGGCATCGTGCGTGAGTTTCCTAGGGTTGTCGTCACACTGTGCCACGGACCGAGTGGCTGGAACAGAGTTGTACGCTGTCCCGGCCCTGGTGGGGCCACACCCCCTCTGAGATGGGGCGGATCAGTCCTTACCTCTTCAGGCCGCTGGCGGCTGCGCAGTCCTTAGCTGCGGGCATGTCACTCTAGCCTCCCCCGTCTTGTCACGCGGCTTTCTCCCCTGTGTGTCTCCGTGTCTGAAGTTTCTTCTTAGAAGGACGCCAGGCACTGGATTAGGGCCACTCTGAACCAGTATGGCCTGATCGCGATCACGTCAGCAAACAAGCCGTTTCCCAATAAGGCCACGTTCACAGGGACCTGGGTTAGGATTTGGGCAACACAGTTCTACCCTCGGCGTGGCGGGAACAGCAAGCGCGGCGGCCCGGGGCGGGAATGTGGGGTGGTTCGGGAGCGGAGGGGTGGAGCGCGGAGGGCCTCGCAGGCCAGGTGGGCGGCTGCGTTTGTTCTCAGACCTTGAGAGCTTCCTCCTGCGAGGGCTGGGGTGCGATTTACCCTCGGAAACCAGCTGGCTGGCTGCCGCGTGTGGGTCGAGAGAGGCACAGGCAGGAGGCGGCCGCGTCAGAGAAGCCAGAGGGTGAGGGCTGGGGGAGGTTCTCCTGTCGGCCAGGGGCCCCCGGCCTCAGCTCTTGGGGTTCTGGTAGGTGGGGAGGTTCTCAGGGAGGAGATTCCGTTCCTGTCGGGGTGACCCGGCGGGACCCCGTGCCTTCCTGTTGGCTCTGTGTTCCTCCCTTCCTCACCCCTGCCCCTGCCATGGCACCCCTCCCCCAGGCCCCGGGGACGCTGCATCTTAACTGTGGGACCCCGGGCCCCCAGTTGGGACCAAAGCCACCCGTCCGCGCGATCAGGGCAGGTCCAGGGGCCGAGGACAGACCCTTGGCGACGCCGTGCCTGGTCCCCGCTCGCGTCTGGCCGGCTGGAGCAGCTGTTTGCTGGCGAGGCGGGCGGGCGGGCCACTTTATTTTCACTGAAAACAGCGCTGTGTTCTCTCGGAAAAACCCCGGGCAGAGTGAGGGAGGAAGACCTGACCTTGTGCTCACGCAGAGCCTCTGCCTGTGCCCCGGGATTCGCCTTGGGGCGTGTTAAGATGGGAAGTTCTAGAACGTTCCTGTGAACTCAGACTCATGCACCCAGTGTCCTTCGGTTCCTGGGGGGAAGGGGGGAGCACCAGGTGTCCTCTGTGTCCTGCGTCTGGGGGTCCCTGGGGACCGCTGCCCGCACGAACCTCGCCTGTATGCAAAGCCGCGGGCAGCTGGCGGGAGCCGGGGCCCAGCCAGCCGTTTTCCAAGGGTGCCGGGCTCCTGACCTTTTTGCCCAGCAGGCGTAGCTCGGAAAACAGTGCTCACAGCGTGGCCCGGGCCACCAGGGAGGGCGGATGGCCAGGGTCTCCGCGCCTGGGTCCCCACCCCGAGCCTGCTGGCTTGTGGGGACGGAGTCACGGAAACATGTTTCTCCCTCCAGGCAAGGCGCTGAGCTCACGGGGCAGCCGCGCCGATAAGCGGCCTCCTGGATAAGCCTGCGTTTTGGCTGCACGTGGGCCGCCCAGGCCGCGGAGCCAGGGGGTTGGCTCGAGTCCTGGCAGCTCCCCAGACCCCTCGGCCGGGCCCTGTGCCCTGCAGGGCCCTCTCAGCCTCCCTCGCTCTCCCCAGACAGCCCCACCCGGGGACGTGTCCTTCCCTCCCCCAGCTGGGCCTGGCATCCGTCCACCCTCCTGCCTGAAGTCCGGCGTCCAGCCCCTGGGGAGCAGGAGTCCTCGGCTGGGAGTCAGGACACCTGGCTCGTCACGCCCTGTGTGACTGGGGCCAGTACCCCGCCCTCGGGTCCTGCCTTGCCCTCTCGGCGAACGAGGCTGGACTAGGGCCAGTCTGCTGACCTCTCTCTGGCCGGCAGCCGCCGCCCCTCCCTCTGCCGGCCGTGACCGCGCAGGGCCGGGTGGGCGCCGGAGGACGCAAACGAGGTGCGTCAGAGCACGGCCCGGCAGCCAGGGCCTCCGGGGAAGAGCTGAGGGACGGGCGGGGCCCCGGGCGACCCCTGGTCCTGGCTGCCTGCCCACCACCCTCCTCCCGGCCTGGCAGCCCCAGCCGCGTGAGCTCTGTGTTCCTGGATGGACACGAGATGGATCTCGTCCGGCCCCTGCCCAGACAACTCCGGGACAGAGATCCGTGGTCTGCCTTTGCTCTCTAGCACTTTCTGCCACGCAGCTCTGCTTGGGAGTTTTCTTGGCAGGCAACCAGAGATAGTGGCTTTGATTGCAAAACCCCGCGCCTGCCTGCCCTCCCCGTCTCATTTCCTGGAGAAGGTGGCTGGATGCTTTTTGGCAGGGCTGGGCGCTGGGATCCCCTGCCCTGGCCTCATCTGTCCCATCTGTAGGATGGGCGTGGATGGCTCATTGCGAGAGTAACTGAGCTAATGGCCGTAAAGCGCCAGCCCAGTGCCGGCCTGCGGTGAGCACTCAGGGAAAGATTTGCTGTCTCCTCTGGATCTGCTGCGGGACCCCCAGAGTCACTCCGACAGGGGGCTGGAGTGCGGCTTCCTCAGCTGTCCCCTTGGAGTTTTGAAAGAATCGTGACAGCAGTTTGTCCTCTGTTCCTTCATCCCACGAGTGACTGGGCACCAGCGTGTGCCAGACCCATTCTCAGGTGCTGGAAACAGGACAGACGAGGCCCTGGGCAGTCTAGCGAGAGTGTGAGGACATCGAGCCGTTGCTCACTCGCTAAGGGGGCAGTGGGAAGACTGGGCCCGGGGACGGGGACTGTGGGCTGGCAGGCAGGGAGGGCCTCTCTGGGGAGGTGACATTGGAAGGTGATGGGAGCCCAGCAGGGAGCAGCCTGTGCAAAGGCCCCGTGACCACATGAGTGCATGTTCCGTGGATGGCGAAGAGGCCCATGGCGAGGAGCTGAGTGAATAGTTGAGGGACGAGAGGGCAGGAGAGGAAGTCACAGTGGGGAGGGCCCTGGGGTTGGGGTGAGGACTCGGAGCCTGGTCTCGGGCCCTGCAGGGGCAGAAGGTGCCTTCTTCACGGGCCAGCCCGCCCTCACCCCATCCCTAGGGCGTGGCGAGGACTGTCCCCGTCTGGTGATCATGGGGCAGCTGAGGCAGGGCTCTGTGGACTTGGGAATGCACTGTCACAGGCCAGCGAACGTCCCCACGCCCTGGTCTCCCCGGACCCCTCCCCCAACCCCAGCCTTCCAAAGTGGGGAGGGAAACAGGAGTAAGAAGGCACCTGCCCTGGGAGCTCCAGGTGCTGGCCACACACATCCCCTTGGTCCACCCACAGGACAGCCGCGGGGTAGCACCTGCTTTCCTCTCCACGTTACAGATGAGGAAACTGAGGCACCATTGGCTGTTACGTGGTCAAAGCGGGGACTCGAACCCAGAGCCTGAGCTCTGAGCCACGGGTGGGTAGGCAGGGCAGGTGCCAGGCCCTGAGAGCCCTTCCGCCTGCCCCCACCCAGGCCTCCAGAAGGGGAGAGAAAAGCTGCCGTCTTTCAAGAGAAGGAAGGAGTGAGTGGAAGAGGCAGAGGCAGCAGGGAGGGCTTGGGGGGGTCGCTCTGAACATCCTCCTGCCTCCCCTGCCCTGTCGGCGGCCGCCCCTCTGGGGGCTTAGGGCCCTGGTACTCCACGGGGGTTTGAACCCAGGCCCTGTGCAGACGTGGCCTTCTTCCCCCCCGAGGGCCGGCTGGGATTAGGGGACACCAGAAAACTGTCAGGCGCTGCCCCAGCCCCCGGCTCCTGCCTCTGTGTCCGTCCCTGGCGGTCTGACTGCCCCTGCCCCGGCGAGGAGCCCCAGGGAGACCGCAGCGGGAGAGCGCACGGGCCCTGCATAGAAGGCCCCACGCACGGACTGTCCGTGTGGGACACCAACCCCTCACTTTATATGTGTTATAAATTCACGTTTTGTATCTCTACAGAATCATACGCACATACACAAAAGTTTAAAAGTTTATATTTTAGTGTTTTTCTATTTGTACATATAAAATATACATTTTTACCATTAGTAGAAAAAGTATAGGAGACACATTAAATCCTTTGATTCAGAGCTAACATAGGGGATGTTCTTTCTTCCCTTTTGTGACAGCTCCGTTGAGACAACTCGTGTGCCATACCAGTCATTCTTAGTGTAGCCACGGTGCGTAAAGCCGTCACCCCAGAAAGGGACCGCGAGCCACACGCAGTCACCCCTCATCGTCTCCTCCCCCCGCCCTGGCACCCACCAGCGCACTTTCTGTGGCTTTGCTTGGTCTGGACGTTTCGAAGGGGTGGGATCCCACAGTACGTGGCCTCGTGTGTGTGGCTCGTCGCCGCGGTCCATCCGTGCCGTGGCTTGTGTCAGTGTTGCGTCCCTTTCGGAGTGTGCAGGAGACCACGTTTTGTGTATCCGTCCCTCGGTGTTGCCGTCCTGGCCACATGGCTGGTTCTGCTGTGAATGTCTCCGTGCTGGTTTTGTGTGGCCACCGTCTTTGTTTGTCGCGAGCGTGTACGCCTAGGACTGGCGGGTGGGGTCACAGGGGAACCATGCGTTTAGCCGTTGGCGGAGCGGCCAAACCGTTCTGCGACATGGCTGCAGCATTCGTTTTTAAATTTAAGTTTGCAAACGCGAGCGGTTGAAAGGGACGAGGGAAAATAGAGTGGAGGGATGGGGGGGGCGGCAGCAGCCAGGTGGAGGATGCCGGCAGGCGATGGCGTCGCCGTCGGGCCTGGGTCAGGGTGCCCCGGCCTCAGGGTGGGGGGCGAAGCGGGGCCGGTCCAGGCCCGGGCAGTGAGGAGGGGCAGCAGGCAGAGGAGAGGCTTCCAGGGGTCCTCGGAGCGCGAGCGGGGACAGGTGGGGAGGCGGCAGGGAGGGGCCTGCGTGGCGCTGGTCATGCCTGGGAAGTCAGGGTGACCTTGCTGTCTCGGCCCCCACCTGCGCGCCGCGGGCAGCTGCAGCAGGCGTCGCCGGGCCTGTCTCTGCTCTCCCCGCTCGGCCGAGCGTGTGGCAGATGCGGGCAGGAGGCCGGCACCCGCAGGGCTGGCCTGTCACATGCCGTGGCAGGAAGGAGACGTGATCTCCTTGTCGCTGGCCATCCCACCCGGGCAGCCGGGGCTCGGGTGGCAGGAGCTGCGTCCTGGTTGTTGTCATGGCTCTTAGCTTGAGGCAGCGGCTGTGCCTTACGGTCTGTGTGTGACACCGGCTCCTGTGGTCACCGCGCACAGTAGGGGCTGTGTCTGCAGGGATCGCGGGCTTCTCGGACCTGCCTCAGTCCTGCCCTCCGGTACCATGGGGTCCTTCAGCTGCCCTGGAGCCCTGGGGCAGAGACTGGATTCCACACCCCGGGCCCAGGGCCGGGCCTGCTCAGTGCTCAGCACACGCAGGTGGCAGGAGGGAGTCAAGAACAAGGGTCGAAGGGCTCTTGGGCTGGAGCAGACCCGGTTCCTGCTCAGAGACCTTGTGCCAGAAGTGGGTTGTGGCACGTGCTGTGACCAGGGCTGGGGTCCTGGGAATCCCGGGAGGCTTCCTGAAGGAGGTGGCAACCACCGAGCAGCTTGGGAGCCACACCCCAGGGCAGGCTCTGCCCCGTGTAGGTCTCCGTTTCTGTGTCACGGCCGCAGACGGAAGGGCCGGCGCTTGTCATCGTGGGACAGGGGACATGCCCTCTGCCCCTCCACGCCAGGCCTGTGGGCCACTTGTCCTCACCCCCCAAGTGGGTGGTGTGCGGGAGAGGAGGTTCCGGCACGCGGGTGCAGCACCCCGCCTCCCGACAGCACAGTGGACTTGGCTCCGTGCCCGAGGCCCCGCCCTGGCACCCGAGCTTCTCGAGTCTGAGTGATCGATAATCTCTCACTAAATCTCTTAATCTCACTGCGCCTTAATCCGGTGGATTCCTCGTCTTCCAGCAGCTCCCCGAGGGCCACGTGTGTGTAGCCCTGCGTCTCGGCTTCTCTGGGGTGTTCCTTGCCCAGGGCTGTCTTGGGGGTGTCTGGGTCATGGCCTCTGGGCCGGGACTGGTCTCAGCCCCTCCTGGGGCCTGTGTGGCCCGGGGGAGGAAGGGAGGGGCCTCCTGCCACCCCCCACCCCCACCCCAAATCCTGGCCTGGGTCCTCGGGAGAGATGGTGACATGGGCTGGGTGGCCCTGGACAGTCGCCTCCCCTCCCGGGGCCTCAGCACCGTGGTCCAGGGCTTGAGCCGCTGCCAGTTGCCGCTGGCCTGACACTCGTTCCCCGCAGGCTGCTGTCCCCGCGGCCCAGCCTCCTCACCCCGGCCGGCGACCCCAGGGCCAACACCTCCCCCCAGAAGCCGCTGGACCTGAAGCAGCTGAAACAGCGGGCGGCTGCCATCCCCCCCATCGTGAGTGCCTGCGCCGCGGCCCCCGCAGAGCCCACCCCGACCTTGACTTCCGATTCACCGGGACAGCAGTGCGGTGGGCGGGCGCCTGCACCTGCAGCCGGCCCTTCCGCTCCCGTTTCCTGGAGAAGTCCCCGTGGAGATGAGACCAGCCCAGAGCGGGCGGGCGCGGGGTGGGGCCCCTCCCTCCTGCGGCACCCGCGAAGCCACCAGCTCCTCCCCCACCCCGAGGGTCTCCCTGAGCCCCCAGACCAGACGCTGGGCTGTGGGGAGCAGGAAGCCCCCCACCCCGAGCTGTAGCAACACCTTGGCCAGAGAAGGGGGGCCCACGAGCTCCTGGGCCTCCTGGAAGAACCTCCTGGCCAGGCAAGCGGGTGGGCCTCTTGGAGGTGCCCCCTCCAAGGAGGAGGATCCGGGCTCCCACAGGGGCTAAAAGACGCTGAGCTGACCAGGCCAGGCTGTCGCTTGGGGCTTTGAGTGCTGGGCGTGGAGGGTGCCGGGCTGCACTGCCGGCTCCCTGTTTCTCTGCGGCCCAGAGGATTTGGGGTGCAGGGAAGGAGCCAGGTGGGCCGGGTTTGGAGGCGGCCGCATGTACTCTGGGCCGAGACCTGCCCTTCTGCCCCACCTGTGACCTTGAGCGTGTCGCTGGCTCTTCAGGGCCTCGGTTTTCGGGCTGGGCACACACAGGTCTCCCTGACCTCTGTCTCCTTCGGGACCTGGTACACGGACACTCACTCGTCCCGACTTCCCTCAGCAGGTCACCAAAATCCACGAGCCCCCCCGGGAGGAGGCGGCTCCCCCTAAGCCGGCCCTGCCTGCCCCACAGCCGCCACAGCACCTGCAGCCGGAGGGCGACGCCCCCCAGCAGCCCGGCAGCAGCCCCCGAGGCAAGAGCAGGAGCCCCGCACCACCCCCCGAGAAGGAGGGTAAGTGCGTGCTGGGGCTGGGGAGTGGGGACCGCTGGCAGGGACGGGTGTCCGTGTGTCTGGAGCGGTGCCGCCGCCTCCCGTCTGCCGTGCGGGGCAGCAAAGGGAACGAGTGAAGGTTTTCAAAGCACTGCAGCCCAGCCTCCGATCGCGTGTGATTCGGGCCACACGTGAACCTCCGGGACCGCAGAGGAGGCCTGGCACCCGGCTGGCAGCCACTCGGGGCCGGGCAGGGTGCTGCCTCTGCGGCTCCCATCTCGACCTTACCCCAGGCCAAGGTTTCTGGGTTCACTGGGGAGCCAGCGGTGGGATTCCCCGAGCAGCAGGGTGACGGCCACTGCCTGGGGCGTGCTTTGCTGTCACTGCAGGAAGTGGAGTCTGGAGACAGGCAGGCGGGGTTCCTCGTGGTCTGGGTCTTCTGTCTCCCCCCTACTCCCCACCAGGCCCAGGAAACTCTGAGCCTGTGTCTCCAAAGGGCATGCTCTCCACAGTGGCCTGGCGTGCGGCAGGGGCTGCGGGCACATTGCGGCGTTGGGGCCGGCCCCCGGAACTTACCCCATACTGGGCTAGCCCAGGCGCTCGCTGGCTGCTCCCAGGGGTCCGAGGGCAGTGGGACCCCAGCCCGGCCTCCCTGATCAGCACAGCCTGGGGACGGACTCAGGTGAGAGCCACCTGCCCCCGCTCCCTGCCGCAGCCTTGGGTGTGGCAACCCTGCTCCTCGAGGAAGCCGGCCTGTTCCTCGTGTGGGCTTCCTGGAGGAGGATGGCACAGGTGATGGTTGAGGACAAAGAGCAGGGCTGTCCCTGAAGGAAGACCTGCCAGCCACTCCCTGTCTAATCAGCCTGCCCCGCCCGCCTCCCCACGGCCACTGTCCCCAGCTACAGGAGGCCTGGGGGCCTGCCACGTGGGCAGGGGTCATCCCAGCCAGCACACAGAGCTGGCTGAGGCCACTGGGCCGGGACGTTTGTCAGACACCTACGACTGCCAAGCACCGTGCTAGGCAGTGGGGATCCGGCAGTGAGCTGAAGTCCCTGCCCTGGGGAGCTGCTGGTTTTGTGAACGAGGAGGACATTAAACGAGGGAACACGTGACAGAGCGAGATCGTTTGGGTTCGGCTCATCCTACAAAAGAAACAGAACAGGTCGAGTGATGAGGGGGGCCCTGGGAAGGCCCCTGTGGAGGAGAGATGGGGCCAGCTGTGGGAATAGCATGTGCAAAGGCCCTGGGGTGGGAACACACTTGGAGTGTTTGAGGAGTTGCCAGGAGGGGACTGTGGCTGGGGGAGGGCAGGACAGGAGAGTGGAGAGGGAAGTGGGCGACGAGATTGTTGTGGCCTCATGGGCCACAGTGGAGAGCGAATTTTGTCTTGGGTCTGGCAGAAATCGCTGGAGGGATTTTAAGTGCTGGGGACGGGGCATGCAATCCGATGTATATTTTGGAAACGTCTCTTTTCGACCGTTGTGAAGTCAAAGGTAGAAGCAGGAGATCACAGGGCAGGTGACAAAGGCCACCCAGGCTGCACAGGTGGCCCTGGAGGTGGGAGGAAGGGGCGCGTTGGGAGTTTGTTTCCGAGACAAAGGCAGCAAGACCTGGTGACGAGTCCGGTGTGGTGATGAGGGCAGGGATGTCTCGCGGGGACTGGGACGCCCCCCCGACAAGGGTGGCCTTCCCTGGTCCAGGGTGCAGTATGGGACACAGGGTGTGGCTCTCGAAGGACATTCCAGGTCCGGGGCACTGGCCAGGAAGGACTCGAGTGTTCACGTCAGGGACCCAGATAGCTTTGGCCGGTGTCGGGTCTAAGCAGGGCTGGAACCGCACGGGGCCAGCCGGGACTTGCTGGGCCGGGTCGCCGGCCCCTGTCCTGGGAGGAGAGCCACCCACCAGCAGTCTCTAGGCTGGCGCCCGGCCCACCGTATGGCGGGGCCTGCGCCATTTCCTGGACGTGCTCCCCGCGGGGCCGGCGCACCTGGCGTCAGGCACTGCGCGCCTCTCTCGCGCAGTCTGGCTCGCAGCTCCGCTCCCTCGGGGACACACATGGACTTGACACCCAGCACTGCCTCTCTGGTCTCAGGAAGCAGCCTCCCTGCCCTGGCTCCCACACGCCACAGCCCAGCCAAGCAGGTCCCTCGGGCTCCCCCGGGCCCAGCTGGAGGAACAGGTTGTCTCTGCAGGCTCTCGGCCGCCCGCCCGGCCTGGCGCAGCCCCAAGTTTCCCTTCCAGCATGGAGGCCCCCTCCCCCCACCCCGCCCCAGCTCTCCATAGCTGAGCTGGAGAAAACAGCGGCCAGGCGCACTCAGGACTGGGCGGCCAGATGAGCCAGGCCCGGCGCCTCCACTGGGGGCTGGTTGAGACTTGCTCCCTGCACCTGTGGCCCCCTCCTGTGGGCTGCCCCCCTCTCCAGGGCACGAGTGCAGGGGAGACGCCATCTCTCCTAGGAGAGAGTTAGAGAGCACGCAGCACACAGGCCTCTGCTTCCCACAGCCATGCCCGCAGCAGGCATCACTAATCGATCTTAGCACTCACTCTCCTGCCACACCCTGCGGGGCCTTCAGAACCTCCTTCATCTAGAGGTGGCCCAAGAGATAACCCCTGCCTCCTATTCCTGTCCTGGGGCCAGAGGGCTCTGTCATTCCCTAGTTGTGTCTCTGCCCAGCTTCTTAGTTACCTGCCCGTAGGATCAGTGCTCGGGGAAGTTCAGAGCTCAGGTCAGATTTCAGCGAAGGGCGAGGAGCCAGCAGGAAGATGCCCTGGAGGCAGCCCTGGGCCCCTGGCTGCGTCTGGGGCATCCCCAGGCCTGGGGATCTAGGGCCAACCATTGCGCTTCTTCTCACGGGTGGTGCTGCGTAGCGGTTGGGGTTAACGCCATGGCCCGCAGCCCAGCTGCCTGGGTTTGAAGCTCCTGTCTGCCACTTGCTGGAGCCTTTGACCAGGTGACTTAAGCTCTGTAGGCCTCAGTTTCCCCATCTGTAAAATGGGGATAATCACAGCCAGCTCCTCGTGGGCACTGTGACAGTGCAAGAGCTCGGGGAGGGTCAGCCAGGGCCCCCGAGGGGCGGCTGGACACAGCCTGACTGCCGGCCCAATGCCCTCAGCAGAGAAGCCCGCGTTCTTCCCGGCCTTCGCCGCCGACGCCCAGAAGCTGCCCGGGGAGCCCCCGTGCTGGACCTCAGGCCTGCCCTTCCCCCTGCCCACCCGCGAGGTGATCAAGGCCTCCCCGCATGCCCCGGACCCCTCGGCCTTCTCCTATGCGCCACCCGGTGAGTAGCTCGGCCTGAGCTTGGGCTCCTCACTGATCACTGAGCGCCAACTGTTTGCACTGACTCAGAACTGCATGCACAAGGATCTTGGAGTCTGGTGGGACCCGGCGGGAGGGCTGGCCCGGTCGGTGGAGGGAGAGGAGAGTGTCTTTTGAGTTTGGGAAACATGCAGGATGGGGACTGAGGCCGCTGGCAGTAGGGAACCCCAGGAGGTACTTGAGCCGGTGAGGGGCAGTCTAGGGCGGGAGCTGCGCTCCAGCCCGGCCCAGAGCTGGGGGATGGGCAGGTGGTCTGCTTTAGTTCCCAGACACTGTGAGGCGGGGTTTGGGGGCCGCTCTGGGTCCTGCAGCCTGCTGGGCCCTGCCAGCTATAAAGGCAGCAGAGCTGGGGTCTGACACAGACCGTGATGCCAGCCTGGCCATTCTGAGCTTGCCGATCTTGACAGGCAAGTGGGCCAAGGGAACCAGGAGAAGGATAGGGAAAGGCATGGTGGCAGAGGGAACAGCACGTGCAAAGGTCCCGAGGCAGGAAAGAGCAGACGAAGCCCAAGAACTGTAGCAGTTGGTGCCCAGTGAGCCAGGGAAACCCCGGAGCCAGGTCATGAACCTCACAGCCATGTCGGGTGCACACTTTATCCTGAGGTCATGGGGAGCCATGGAAGGTTTACAGCAGGGGGGGGTATGAACCAGCCGACTTCAAAAGGATCCCTTTGGTTCCTGGGAAGGGGCTGTGGGGGCAAAGTGGACGTGGGGAGACCAGCCAGGGGTCCCAGTGAGCAGGGAAGGGCTCGGACTCAGGGCTGGGCAGTGGGTGGGTGGAGGGAGCCTCCCTGGGGTGGCGTCTGAACTGAGGACAGAACTGCGCAGGGCAGCCGCCTGGGCCGGACGGGAAGGTGCAGGCGGCCCCCGAGGCACAAGTCCAGCAGGGGCATGACTGCTCCTGGGCCCCATCATGGACGGGCGTGTGCCCTGCAGGTCACCCGCTGCCCCTGGGCCTCCACGACAGTGCCCGGCCTGTCCTGCCGCGCCCTCCCACCATCTCCAACCCGCCTCCCCTCATCTCCTCTGCCAAGCACCCCAGCGTCCTCGAGAGGCACATGGGCGCCATCTCCCAGGTGAGGGGCAGCCGGGCGCCCGGGGAGCGGCGCCCCCTTCCTCTGGTGGGGGCTCAGTCTTCCCATGCACAAAGTGGGGGCAACAGGACCCGTGAGGTCTGGCGGTGGGGGGCGGGGGGAGGCCAGGCTCCCGGGGGCCTGAGTCGTGTCCACTCAGGACCTTGTCCTTGGGTAGTGACCCTGTGGGCAGGGAGAGCACGGGCTGTGGAACCAGATTGGCCTCAGGCAAGTTACGTAACCTGTCTGTACCTCAGTTCCACCCCCCACCCCCGTGAAACGGAAGAGCAAATGCGGTAGACACAAGCACTTGGCAGAGTAGCTGGCACGTGGCGGGTGCTGGCTCCGGGTCATCTGCCCCCGACCTGCTGCCACCGCAGACACAGACAGTGGACGGGCATCCACGTGCACCGTTTCCTTCTAACTGCACCAGACAGTGGTGGCCCCTTCAAGGGGAGGGGACCCGGCCTCAGGAGAGGCACTGGCTTGTCCATGTCACACGGCTGGACAGCAGGGCTGGGACTCTGACCTGCATGTCCTCTGGGCCTTCCGGCCTGTGGTGGAGGGTCCAAGGGGCAGCGGGGAGGTGACCCCACGGCTCTGCCCTACAGGGAATGTCCGTCCAGCTGCACGTCCCGTACTCGGAGCACGCCAAGGCCCCCGTGGGCCCCATCACCATGGGGCTGCCCCTGGCCATGGACCCCAAGAAGCTGGGTAAGGATCCTGGGCCCGCCACCAGCTGTCCCGTTGGGGGGCGAGCGAGGGGCATCTTGGCCCGTGGGACTCCGGGTGGCAGCTGGGAAGCTCCCCAATGCTCCTGGCTGGAACGCGGGGGAGGGGGTGGCATGTCACATCGCCTTGCAGCCCCCTGGGTCAGGTCAGGCAGAGTGGGGGACAAACCTCCTGTGTCCCTGCCCGGTGGCACGTGACTCACCCCTCGCTGGTCCTCAGCACCCTTCAGTGGAGTGAAGCAGGAGCAGCTGTCCCCACGGGGCCAGGCTGGGCCACCGGAGAGCCTGGGGGTACCCACGGCCCAGGAGACGTCCGTGCTGAGAGGTGAGGCCCTTCTGCCTGCGTCCCTGCATGTCCCCCTGCTCCTTGGACGGTCGAGGCAGGACCAGGACCCTTTATCTAGTCCCTCGGGGAAGTGTCGTCTGTTGACAATTGTCTCCTTCACCATCGAAGGGCACAGGGAGCCTGTGCACTGAGCCAGACTTGTGGGTCCCCAGGTCTAGGGCCTGGGAAACAGCCACAGACATCCCCTGAGCCCGTGTCTCGTGTCTTCCAGGGACAGCTCTGGGCTCGGTTCCCGGCGGCAGCATCACCAAAGGCACCCCCAGCACACGGGTGCCCCCAGACAGCCCCATCACCTACCGCGGCTCCATCACCCACGTAGGTGTCCGGGTCGCGGCGTGAGGGACAGGGTGGGGCAGGCCTGTCTCACGTCCCTCCATTCTCGCCGCCCCTGCCTCAGCAGATGGGGTGGCGACTGGGGCGTAGCAGTTCTCGCTGCGGACATTCATCTTGTCCGCGTGGAGTCGGGCACGGGGTGCTGAGCAAAGCTCGACTCGCCCACCCAGAGCTGGTGGGTGGCGGGAGGGAGTAGAGCGAGACAGTGGGCAGGGAACGCGTGATGTGCTTAGGAGCGGGCAGAATACCGTGGCTGAGAAGGCCCGGGACCAGGCAAGGAGGGAGAGACCTCTCGAGGAGGTGACATGTCAGCTGTGGCTAGGAGAAATCAAGAGTGCAAGCTGTGCAGAAATCCCAGGGAACAGCATTCTGGGCCCAGGGAACAGCATGTACAAAGACTGAGAAGTGGGAGGGTTCCTGGCGTGTGGCCACAGAGCTGGTGCGGGCTGGACCCAGGGTGTTATGGTGGTGTGTCTGGCTACATTAACAGGCGTGTCAGTGGCGGGGTCTTGGGCAACAGGATCTTCCACGGTAAGCTGTTTCTGACCCGAGGAGCCCCAGCTCCCACCACGGTGGAGGCCCTTCTTGCTCCATCTCGCTCTGAAATCTATAGGTTTTGAAATCACAGGCTTTTGAGGGCAGCCGTGCTGCGTGCAAAGAACAAATGCTCGGCGCAGACGTCAAGCTAAGGGCGCGTGGATGCCAGCCAGCTCTGCCACACGCTCGGGCATGGCAGGGAGCCACCTGCCCTGACTCAGTTTCCCTTTGATGAAAGTATTCCTAGGGGAGTCGTTCTCATGACGTTGCAGGGGTCAAAGGTCGGCATTGGAAGTTCTTAGGCATCCACCTGCCCCAGGTCACATCGTGGTGGCAGCTCCCAGGGTGTGTGAGGTAGACGAGTGTCACACTTTCCCACGGCCTCGCTGCCAGGCCATGACGAAATCAGCGCTCGGCCCACACACGCGGGGAGACATTTATTAACCAGGCGGGTACCGGCGGGCAGGGACCACGTGGCCCCGCGGCCGGCGCAGGAGGCGAAGCTGCCACCTGACGCCCGGCGGTCTGACTCCTCAGTGGTGTTCTGACCCCCAAGCTTGTTCACGCTGCCCCACGGACCCCGTGCGGCCCTCCGCTCTCGGCTTGAACCCCTCCCCCTGTGGGGAGCTCACTCCCTTCAAGGCAGTGAATCTCAGCTTGGGATTTTGCCCCCAGATAGCCAGGGACGTTTTTGATTGTCACAGCTCTGGGGGTGGAGCGGCAGTCAGGGAGGCTGGGATGCTGGTAAACCCCCGCGACGCACAGGACAGCCCCACAGCAAAGAACGATCTGGATCCAGATGTTGACGGTGCCAAGGCTGAGAAACCCTGGGTTAGAAGTAACATTTCTGGTGTCCTGCCCGACCTGAGTCCTCGTCCTGGTTTTATGCAACCAAAGTGCACAACCTGCGGCTGCAGGCACGGCCCGGCGGCCGAAATCCCTCGGTCCCCGCCAGTCGCTGTTTGTTGGTGGTCGGATTCCAAGGCTCTGAGGAAGTCAAACCCTGTGGCAGTGGGTGGTGGGGATGCAGACTCCAGGGCCAGACCACCCGGGCTCAGATCCCAACTCTGCCCCTCGCTAGCCATGTGGCCCTGGGTGAAGTCACCTGACCCCTCTGTGCCTTGGTTTCCCCGTCTGAAACAGGCATAATGAACAGTACCTGTCTTCGGGCGTCAAGGATTAAATGAGTTCATCTAGGAAAGTGCTCAGAGCAGTGTTCGTTAGGCAATTGCGTCCTAGTGGGCTTTGCCTCCCCTTGTGAGACAGTGCACGTGTGTACACACGTGTGCACTGGTGGGCACGTATGTGCATACGTATGCATTCGGGTTGTGAGCGGTCCTCAGCCGCAGCCTCCTGGGTCTCGCTGCTCGCACCCGCAGGGCACTCCGGCCGACGTCCTGTACAAGGGCACCATCACCCGGATCATCGGCGAGGACAGCCCCAGTCGCCTGGAGCGTGGCCGGGAGGACGGCCTGCCCAAGGGCCACGTCATCTACGAGGGCAAGAAAGGCCACGTCTTGTCCTATGAGGGTGAGTCACCGGGACGTCCTGCACTGACAGCCGAGGGGCATTGGCGGGGCGGGCTGGGGGCTTTGGTGCCCAGGACGGGTGGGGGCCGGGGAGGAAAGCTGGTCATTTGGTCACTCGGGGTGGAGCCAGCCACATGCCCAGGGCACACGGCAGGAACTAAAGCAGGTCCCCACCTTCGGAGAGCGCTCGGGACGCGCACACGAGGTGCGGACAGGACGGCGCCTTGTTGATTCTGAGCCGTGGACACCTGCCCCGCACAGCTCACGTGTCCACGGGGCCACAGGCCTCGGTGTGCCTGGAGTTGGTCGGGGGGGGGGGGGGCCCAGACAGTGGGTGGGGGCTGAAAGGCAGCCAGCTGCCCTTGGATGATGCGTCTGGGGGAGTTCGTGCCCCTCCTGGCAGCGGGGTGGTTGGGAGCTGAGATAAAGGGTTTTTCCTCATTTACAGATGAGAAAACTGGGGCACAGCCACGTCCGCTGGTCGCGTGTGGCCACCCTCCCGGCCCCACGAGAGAGAAGTAGGCCAGGATCAGGGAGGAGGGTGTTTGGCCCATTCAGGAGGCTTCACAGGGAGGCAGGGCTGGGTGAGGCCAGGGAGCACGGTCCGATAGGTGGTGACCTAGCCGTCCCTGCAGGTATGCAAGCCAGCAGCAGGCAAGGGTGGGTCTTAGCGACCTCCCACCTCTGCCCGGTTCACACCACCAGGCCCTGAGCCCCGCACTTCCAGCAAAGCCCACGCGTTCTACCTGGCCACGGAGGGGTGACAGCTAGAGTGACCCTCCACCCCCACCGGGCGCCAGGCCCTGGTTCCAGAGAGGAAGGGGTTAAGGGAGCCAAGTGCTGGGAAAGTGGATTTCTTGGCAGCCCCTGGCACCCAAGGGTGTGGAGATAAAAGCTGCTAATGGGCGCCCCTCTCGGTACTGCCAGCTGTGGCCGAAATTGCCTGTCCTCCCGGGGGCGTGGGCTCTCCATCCGCCTCTGCCGCGCGGCAGCCCCTGCCCCGTCCTGGGAGGCGGAGCTGGTACCGTGAGGCTTAGGAACCGACCTCTCTCTGCTGCCAGGGAGAGACCATCTTGGGGACAGGCCGTCAGGTGCCCCCAGGCTGGGCGCCAGGGTGTGGCCGGGAGCCCGGGAAGGGCCGATGGGGGCTGTGTTGTGGTCACTGGGTGGACTCGTGTCTTGGGAGCCGGGACCAGGGACCGAGCCGTTGCAGGCCTTAGTGTACCGTGTTTTGATCAGGGCTTTTAGGCCCTCCTGTGCTCCCGGGCCGGTGGCCAGTGTGGGCAGCTGGCCGGGCGTGAGGCGGCAGGGAGTGGCGAGGACTGTGGCTGCCACCCCTGCCGTCCCACTCACAGCAGCTGATTGTTGGCCAGACTTTCGGTCTCCGTTTGTGTCCAGAATCTCCCGATGTTTAAACATCAGCAGTCAGTGTAGAGAAACTTCAGGACAGCCACATGGCACCCAGCAGTGTGCGTCCTCGGGAGCCAGCGACCCGAGGGTCCCAGGTGGCAACGTGGAAAGCCCGTGGGGGTGCGAGAGCTCCTCACCCGCGGAAGGGTGTGGCTGGGTCCCGAGCTCATTCCCGACACCCCTGGACTCAGCCACCGTGGGAGGAACCCCCAGGGGAGCCGGCCACGGGCGGGACGACGCCTTCACTGCCCTGGGTGCTCGTCCGGGGGCAGTGAGCCGGCCCCTCTGCGCTCGGGCCAGCTTGGTGGGGCCACCTCTGCCAGGGAGACGCCTTCACGGCCACCCACACGTCTTTGCCCGCGCGTACTTGTGGTAGGGCACACGCACGTTTGTGTACTGGTGTGCACGTCCACACAGGCTTCTGTGACCATACACACGCGTGCAAAGCTACGTGCCGCCAGGCACGCCCTGGTGTGCGTGTGTATGTGCGTGCATGGGCTCACTCTGCCCTTAGCAGCCAGGTGCACCCGTGCACACACACGTGCACACGCATCCCACGTACACACGTACCCCCCTGTACACACGTGCACACACATCCCCTGTACACACGTGCACACGCATCCCCGTACACAGGTGCACACGCACCCCCCGTACACACGTGCACACATCCCCTGTACACGTGCACATGCACCCCCTCTACACGTGCACACGCACCCCCTGTACACACATGTGCACACGCACCCCCTGTACACACGTGCACACGCATCCTCGTGTACACGTGCACACACATCCCCCTGTACACATGTGCACATGCATCTCCCTGTACACACAGGCCCGTGCTGATGCACGTGAGTTCCCTGCCTGCCCCGAGCATCCAAGCTGCGGATGCGTCTTCGCTCACACACGTGTGTAGACAGGCTCGCACGCTCGTGCGTGCACCTGCTTGCCGACAGAACAGCCCGGAGGACCGGGGTGAGGGGTGAGGCAGCTCACCCTGCCTCTCCCACGCAGTGAGGCTCAGCAGCGGGTAGCCGGGCTCTGCCGCGGGCCCCGCGCCGCACCACACACCTCAGCTTCCAGGCCTGGTGACGGGGCCCCTCACCGTGCTCTGTGTCTGGTCTCCAGGTGGCATGTCTGTGTCCCAGTGCTCCAAGGAGGACGGCAGGAGCAGCTCGGGGCCTCCCCACGAGACAGCGGCGCCCAAGCGCACCTACGACATGATGGAGGGCCGCGTCGGCAGGGCCATCTCCTCCGCTGGCATCGAAGGTGGGGCCCGTCTGCGGGCTTGTGGCACAGACGTGAGAGCTCACTCCTCAGCGCCCCGTGGAGGGAGGTGGTGGGATGCTTGGCCCTGGTTTACAGATGGGGAAACTGAGGCTGGGTTTTCTAGGCTCAGTCCGGAGGCAGCTCAGGGCTCCGGAGGCAGCTCAGGGCTCCGGAGGTGGGACACTTCCTTGCTGGGTCCTGTTCCGCCACCGTCGTTATGACCCGAGTCTGCCCAGTGCTGGCTCAGGGACCCACCTGACGAGCCCTCGCCCTCTGTCGCCCAGGTCTCATGGGCCGCGCCATCCCGCCCGAGCGACACAGCCCCCACCATCTCAAGGAGCAGCACCACCTCCGCGGGTCCATCACGCAAGGTACCACCCTGCCCTCCGCTCCTGCGGCGGGCGGCAGGGAAGCCAGGCAGGAGGGGAGAGACGCCCAGGGTGCGCGGGAACCCCCAGGACACGTACACAGAAAGGCGCGCGATGCATGTGTGTGTGACGCCGTCAGATACGGGGCAAGGGTGCTTGCTTATTTGAAAACGGAAACGTAAAATACCACCTGTCACCCCTGTGCTCCGTAGGTGGCATTTACGGAACAACTACTGTGTGCTTGGCACTAACCCGGGTGCCGTGTGTGTGGTGTTTCGGGTCAGGAGGACACAGTTGGCGGGAGGCTCAGGTCAAGTGCGCGTGGCTGGTCAGCGGTGGAGCCAGCTGCCGTGGGCCCGGCAGTTTTGTGCTTTTCGTCTGTATTATTTTGTAGATTGTCTGCAAGGTGGTTTCATTTCACATATAAAGATGCTGAGGCTCAGAGAGGTCAAGTCACATATCAAAGTCACACAGCGAGCGAGGGTTTGAACTCAGTCTAGCTCCGACACCCGCTGGTGTAGAGGCCCTCGCTCAGGTGGGGCGGGGCATGGGTGCCCAGACTCACCGCCGTCCGCCCCGCAGGGATCCCACGGTCCTACGTGGAGGCGCAGGAGGACTACCTGCGTCGTGAGGCCAAGCTCCTGAAGCGGGAGGGCACGCCCCCGCCCCCGCCGCCCCCGCGGGACCTGGCCGAGGCCTACAAGACGCGGCCGCTGGAGGCCCTGGGCCCGCTGAAGCTGAAGCCGGCCCACGAGGGCCTGGTGGCCACGGTGAAGGAGGCCGGCCGCTCCATCCATGAGATCCCGCGCGAGGAGCTGCGGCGTACGCCCGAGCTGCCCCTGGCCCCACGGCCGCTCAAGGAGGGCTCCATCACCCAGGTACGGGCCCCAGCCGGGCTGCGATCTCGGGGTGCGGGGGACGGGGGCCCGGAGCCGTCGGGTGCCCTGCCCAAGGTCACCGTGGCTCATGACCAGGCGCGCACCACGTACGTTTTGGGGGCTGTGCTGAGGCCGTTAGGCCACAACCTCATTCGGTTGTACTTAGAGCCCTGTGAGGTTTGTGCCTGTGTTCTCGTTCTTCGGGTAGAGAAACTGAGGCCCGGAGAGGTCAAACAGCTTGGCCGAGGACACAGAACGAAACGTGGCAATAAACTGGGTGGGGTGCTGCCCACAGATGCCATGGATGTGGCTTATTTAGCCTCACAGCGATGCTCCAAGGTGGTTCTTGTCCTGATCCTATTTTATTGGCCAGTAAACTGAGGTCCAGAGAGGTTAAGCAACTTGCTCAGAGTCACGCAGCAAGTAAATGGCAGCTTCGAAGCCCAAATCCGATATCCCCAAATCTGCAACCCCTTTGCCTCTGGCGTCCACCTCCTGCCAGCAGCTGCCCCCTCCCAGGAGGGCCCGGTTCGGCAGGGGAAGGTGGTGTGATGAGCCGGGCAGGGGACACTCCCCCAAGGGCGACCGTCCCTTCGCAGGGGCAGAGGTGACCCTCCCCAGGGCTGCGGGGCTGTGAGGTGGGGACTGGGGAAGGATCCCGGGCGGGACCCCAGCTGGGTCAAGGCGTCAGAGCGCCTGAGCAAAAGGCGGAAGCAGTAGGAAGGTTCTGGAATGCCAGGAAAAGGGTTTGGCGCTCAGCCTCCAGGCGGTTACGGAGCCATCGGCAAGCATCCACTGTGTGTCCAGGGTGGGGGCCAGTCTGATTCTAGAATATTCTTTTGAAAAATTAGGGCATTTTCCCCTTTTTATGAAAGTAGTTAAAATGTTCCTGAACAAGCAGAGCCTTGTCACTTGCAAAGCCATGGGCCCCACCGTGTCCAGTGTCTCCGGAGCCTGTTGAAACAGGGTGGGGGCGTCCCCCAGGTGGGCGGGCTGCTGTCCTGGCCGTGACCTCCCCATCTGCAGCCGCCCTTTCCGGCCAGAGAGCAAACGTAAGCTCAGCCCTGACCTCGGCACCCCAGGCCGTGCGGAGCTGCACTCGGCGCTGAATTTCCCGGCCTGGCACCAGGTGGGCCGCGGAGGGTCCCAGGCTGAACGGAGGAAGGTTTCTGCCCACATGGGGGTGCTGGGCCTCTTTCCAGCAAACTCCAGGGAGGGGTGACCGCTGAACCCTCCGCTCCTCTCTGCAGCTCCCCAGGCAGCTCTGGGGTCCGGGGCCGGAGGTCAGGCCGAGCAGGCGGGTGGACAGTGACAAGTGTGCCGTCTCCAGCTTCACAAATCCCTTTGTCTCCCTGCCGGCGGAGGCATCACGTCACCCACGTTTTGGAGATGAGCCACCGAGGCTCAGAAAGGTTTTGTAGTCGGTCTAGGGTCTAGGGCCGAGGCTGGAGCTCACCCCCCCTCTGCTGCAGGGCACCCCGCTCAAGTATGACGCCGGCGCGTCCTCCGCTGGCTCCAAAAAGCACGACGTGCGCTCCATCATCGGCAGCCCCGGCCGGACCTTCCCGGCCGTGCACCCGCTGGACGTGCTGGCCGACGCCCGGGCGCTGGAGCGCGCCTGCTACGAAGAGACCCTGAAGAGCCGGCCGGGCACCGCCAGTGCCTCGGGGGGCTCCATCGCGCGCGGGGCCCCGGTCATCGTGCCTGAGCTGGGCAAGCCGCGGCAGAGCCCCCTGGCCTACGAGGACCACGGGGCGCCCTTCACCGGCCACCTTCCACGCGGCTCGCCCGTGACCACGCGGGAGCCCACGCCACGCCTGCAGGAGGGTGAGTGGGCCACGGGGGGGCACCCCTCTGCGGAAGCTTCCTTGCTGTCCGTCAGCTCGGGCTGGGACCAGGGCACCCACGGGGCTGCACCCCCCACCCATGGGCCCTGCCTCCAGCATGGGTCTCCCCCGACGCCTCCCAGCCCCGCAGCTCCGCACCTGGCGTCCCCACCCCCCAGACTCAGCCACACGGGCCTCCTCCCTCTCTGGGCCGCGGCCACACCCAGCTTGCTGCTCCCTCGGGGCCTCCGCGGTGTCGTCCTCTCTGCCCGCAACGTCCCCGGCCTGTTGCTTTCGGCAGGTTAGGTAGACAGCTCTGTCCCGGACGGGTTCTTTCCATCCGTCAGGTTTCTGTTCAGATGTCGCATCCTCGCGGAGGCTTCTCATGACCAACCTCCCCCTCCCGTGTTAAAATTTTTCAGAGCGTTTTTCGCTATGAAGTTCTCATTTGTTTACTAGTTCATCATCTGTCTCCCTCCGTGGGAGCCGGGGTTTTATCTGTTTTGCTCACTGGGGTGACCCTAGCTCTCCCGACAATATTTGGCACGTGGTCAAGGCTGTGTGAATATTTTTTGATTAACTGAATGAATGAATGAATGAGTGAATGAACAGGTGAACTAGTGAAAAAAGAATGAATCTTGAGAACCCGCACAACAGAAGCAAACGGGTCGATGAAAGAGAAAACGAACTAAGGCAAATTGAGGAAAGAGTGAAACGAATGAGCGAATGAAGAGTCCTGGTGCTTGCGATCTCGGGACCGCCCCCAGACGGCTCCCGGCGAACCCCAGCCGCGTAGCCCCGCGTGGGGCGAGGACGGAGGCCTGACGCCACGCCCCTGGCCCGTCCCCACAGGCAGCCTCTCGTCCAGCAAGGCGTCCCAGGATCGGAAGCTGACGTCGACGCCCCGGGAGGTCGCCAAGTCCCCGCACAGCACCGTGCCCGAGCACCACCCGCACCCCATCTCGCCCTACGAGCACCTGCTCCGGGGCGTGAGTGGCGTGGACCTGTACCGCGGCCACATCCCGCTGGCCTTCGACCCCACCTCCATTCCCCGTGGGATCCCCTTGGATGCAGGTGACTGCCCTGGGCCCGCAGAGCCCTGCCGCGGCGGGGAAGTCGTACGTAGGGTCGGGGACCTCATCGGTAGCAGGCCACGGACGACTTGGCCATCAGCAGCTAGGTGCACCTGGACAGGGAAATGAGGCCTGGAGATCGGGAGACCACGCAACAATGCCATCATGACCAGTTTAAGTTAGAGCAGAATTTCTCTTAGTATTTTGAGGGATATGCTGGGTTGAAGATTTTCAGTGGTTTTCTTTTCCCGCGGGACTTATCAGTGCCTTTAAAATCTCAAATCTATCAAATGAGGTCTTGAATGTGTGCATTTCCCAAATGGACGTGATCTGAAAGGCTTCCTTTTAAAAGGCTACGTCCCTCTGGTGTGTTAGGGATCTGCATTCGGGTGCCCTGTGTCTGGGAGGCCCTCAGTGCAAAAAGCATCTTTGGTAGGAGACACGCCCCCGTGTCTGGGAGATGTTTTCCTACTGCCAGGGCCTCGATTCTGACTTGCGGAGGGTGCTCTGGGGGCCACGCGTGTCCGCGGAGAAGCTGTCGGCGGGGCGGGGCGCAGACGTGGGGGACGCCGCCGGCCTCACGCCCGCTGCCTCCTCTCGCAGCTGCTGCCTATTACCTGCCCCGGCACCTGGCGCCCAACCCCACCTACCCGCACCTGTACCCGCCTTACCTCATCCGCGGCTACCCCGACACGGCGGCCCTGGAGAACCGCCAGACCATCATCAACGACTACATCACCTCGCAGCAGATGCACCACAGCGCGGCCACCGCCATGGCCCAGCGAGCCGACGTGCTGAGGGGCCTGTCGCCCCGCGAGTCCTCGCTGGCGCTTGGCTACGCCGCCGGCCCTCGAGGTGGGTGGGCGGGTGCTTCTGGGCATGCGCGGGGTTAGGCGGGCGGGCCCGGGCCTGGCCCTGTTCCCAGAGGACACGTGCGTGCCCGAGTCCCCGCCGAGGTGGCTGGAGTGGGTCACCTCACGGGTTCGCGGGAGCACCCCGAGAGCACACGCAGACGCGCGTGTGGGGTGCGGGTCGTGCGTGCTGGGCGTGTGGATTTGCGCATGCGCGTGGGCGCCAGCCGGCATCTGGGTGCGTGGCGTGTGCCTGCTTACGGCGGCGCGTGCGCGTCTGTGCGCGCCCTCGGCGTGCAGCGGACTCGCGAGTTTAGAGAAAGATCAAACGCGAGGCCGTCTGAACGTCGCTGCCTTTGACTCCTGGGCGGCCTGTGGTTGCTTTGCGCGTGCGCGTTCGCGCCGCATCCGCCAAAAACGCTCCTGGCGCGTCCTGGAGTGAGCGAGGCTGAGGAGGGCCCCGGCGCAAAAGCCAGTCGCGCTAGGTCTTTCCGACAGCGAGGACCGAGTGCAGGGGTTGGTTCCGTGGGGGTCAGAGGCTGAAAGAGCAGAGGCCCGCGAAGGTGGCCGGGTGCCCGCTGCAGGGAAGGCCGCTTCTCGGGCGGGGAGCAGAAGGGGAGGCGGGACCGCGAGGACGGGAGCCGGAGGGAGCGCCTGCTGGCAGGTTGTGGCGAGGGGAGGCGGGAGGGGGCGGGCCGGGGCGGCAGCCTGGCCCCGTCCTCCCTGTGGCTCACACCCCGGCCCACCCCCACCTCCTCGTAGGCATCATCGACCTGTCCCAAGTGCCACACCTGCCCGTGCTGGTGCCGCCGACGCCAGGCACCCCGGCCACCGCCATGGACCGCCTCGCCTACCTCCCCACCGCGCCCCAGCCCTTCAGCAGCCGCCCCAGCAGCTCCCCGCTCTCCCCAGGTAGCGCCACGCACCCCCCTCCCGGCCGGGACCCCAGCGGGGCAGCGGGGGCGCGGGCAGGCTGAAGACGAGCCCCGGCCCTCCCCGGCCCCTGGGGCCGACTGAGTCCCGGCCTTCGGGTTTCCCAGGCGGCCCCACGCACTTGACAAAACCGACCACCACGTCCTCGTCGGAGCGGGAGCGTGAGCGGGAGAAGTCCATCCTCACGTCCACCGCGACGGTGGAGCACGCGCCCATCTGGAGACCCGGTAGGGCATCGGGGACCCCCGCCCCAAGCCCCGGGGGTCCTCGCGGCCGCGTGAGGCCTGCGCCCTCTGACGCCGCAGCCCGTCTCCAGGTACAGAGCAGAGCAGCGGCGGCGGGGCTGGGGGCAGCAGCCGCCCCGCCTCCCACTCCCACGCCCACCAGCACTCGCCCATCTCCCCCCGGACCCAGGACGCCCTCCAGCAGAGGCCCAGCGTGCTGCACAACGCGGGCGTGAAGGGCATCATCACCTCTGTGGAGCCC